GTATAGCGCCTTACATATGCGCGCTATACCCAATAGAATTATTGGTCTGCCAACTAAGTACAGAAGAATTATTAGTGGGCCTAAATTTTGCGTATAACGCGCTAATTCACCGCGTTATACCTTGTTGAAATATTAGTGTGTCAGTCAATACCAGAAGAATTATAGGTGGTCCCAATAATTAAGTATAGCGCGGTGAATAACCGCGCTACACCTTAATGGACAAACGTGTCGTTAAGGTATAGCGCGGTGAAATGTCGCGCTATACATATTATGGTGGCCAATTTTTTTTACATATTTTAATTCTTTGAGTCCAAAAGAACTATATTTTGGTTTTGGACTCGTGTTAATATTGAGTTCCAATTGATTTACTTTTGGGCCAGGGGTGGAGAGATCACAGACTTTGAGTTATTATAACTTAAATTCCTACATCTGTAATGAATGGGGGGAAATCATAGCATAGTGTCAGAGAATCATCATAATTCTTGGTTTACCTAATGTGGGCCCATTAGTACTAGCTAGTGATTTTCTTGTCATATATAAGCAGGAGGAAACAATGACTGAGGAGGGTGGTATGGGAGGGGGTCGGGAGAAGGGGGATTCCTCGTAAATGACCAAAAATACATGATTTTGAGTGTATTTTCTATCATTTTGTATATGAGTTGGAGGATATTATATACTTATAAACGTGATATATGCTTATTATGTGCTTATAGTATGTAGGAACGAATTTGGATAGAAGTTGATAAAAATTGAATGATTAGATGCAAAAAGAAGTTGAGAGCAAAAGCTGGAAGCGTATCACAACTGACGCCTCGCGCGAACCATAGGCATGCCAAAGGTTTTTAGCTTGAAAAAAAAAACATTGAAGTATAGAAGCTTGGCACCAGACCTGGCGTGAGAAAAATTCAAAGAACTGGGAACGTGCTTTAAGGCCGCGCGAGGCGCGCCCCTCCAGTTCTCCTTTCTGAAATTTGGAGTGTCAAGTTCCGCCTCATACAAATCCTAATTGATATAAATACATCCTAATTAAATATTTTTTTAGCAGAGAGACACTACTTTAGAGTAAGAAAATACTCTCGGAGGCAAGAACGCGCTAGGAGCAAGGAGGAAGATTCAACCATGAGTTTTTCTCCTTCTTCTTTATTTTTTTTTATTATTGGCTATGAATTTTAATTGTATGTGTTTCACATACTTTTATGAGTAGCTAAATTCTCTTATCTAGGATTTGTTGGAACTTCTTGGAGGATAAATTTTCCTTATGTTTAATATAATTTTACAGTTGGATTTTCTTTACTTGTTCAACCACGTGATTATCTGTGTTGATTGAAGGGCCCTCAATTGACTGTGCCTATTTATTATATACTGCTTGAGAGAGTGTGCATATTTAGGTGATTGCTGAACAATGTTACTCCTAAAGTATACGAGAAATCAATACAGATAGTTTAAAGACGGGTTTAAAAATAATAAAACTTTGACGTGATTATGGCGAGCAACAAGAAAGTGCAACTAACGTAATTTGAGAGAACACGCAGTAAATTATTGTAGTTCCTCGAGAGAAAAGTAAAATAAGTGAAGTGCTCATGATTAGTAGAGAAGTTAGGCGAAATTATAGGTGACATAGCGGAAGGAATTCCGGCATTTGGGGAAATCACAACCCTAGGCTTACATAATCTTGTTTACAACATTCAATTTAGTTAGCGGTAATTTTTACTACATTTTCTTACTTGCTTTTTTATGATAAATAATCAAAACTCATTATTTGCTATTTGTGGCGTGAACTCTTGCGAGACGAATAGTTGTGATTAATATCTTAATTTTCTGTGAAATTCGATTCCGATTCTTAGAGCGGATTATATTTGCAATGATCGCAAGTCATCTTAAGAGATATAGTTGGGCGTGATCAGTTCCTTTACCAAACAATGGACTAATTTTCAGAAGAAAAAAAAAAGAAGAAGGCATGTTCCAATGCGATAATATTTGCAAAACAGGAACTTTAAGCGCAACTGATAAATTTAGTACTCGTGCATATTCAAATAGGAAAGAAAAGAAATCGAGGATGCCTAGATTATAGTCTAGAATATTTTGTTAATAAGAAAATTCTGAAATTCGTAGAATTCTTTCGGAGTTAATAAATTTTTTTGACCACCGTCGTCAATCTCCTAGTATTAGATAACCTATCAAATTATTGTATTATATTTTTTCCGTACATTAACACTATTATATAAAAGCATCTACAAAGGCTTCTATCTATTCATGATGTGTGTACACATGCACATACACATACACATGTACAGTGGCGGAATCAGGATTTTTATTAAGGGAAGTCAAAATATAAAGAAACAAACTCACCAAGAAGTCAAGGGGTGTCATTATATAATATATATACATATTTTAAAAAAAATTACCGAATGATTACATGCATATGTCTACGATTTAATACTGTCTTTTTTTCAAGAAAAATGACCAATTTTGTTAGATGAAAACTTTTCCATTTTAACAACGAAAAAGGTCCAAATACCCCCTGAACTATAGGATAAGGTCTACAAATAACCATCGTTAGAAGTTTTACCAATCTTGTCGTTACACTCTTGGCTTGGATACCCCTTAATTTTAAACGGCAGCCAAAGTGGATAAGTTATCCACTCATAATTTAACATGTGAAATTTTAATTTACGCCCAACCCGATTTAATTAGCCTACCTGTTACCCGACCCGTATAACTTAACCCCTTTCTTAAAAACACCTGAATTACTTCACTTATCAATTAGGGATAACTCTTCTTCTCGGTCTCAACAAGGATTTTATAGAGTTGCTGCTAATTCCGGTGAAATTCTGGACGACCAAGCTAGGGTTAGTGTCCCGACCATCTTTCACCATTCAATTCCCAAAATATGAGTCAGGGATCTTCGAGTTCATCATATGGTTCGAGGAGGAAATTCTGTTGTGGAGTTGCTGCTAGCCAATTCACTGCTTGACTCCAAATAATGCCGGCAGACGATTTAACAAGTGTTCAATGCCTAAGGTAAATTTTATAAGACTTTTTTGTGTATTTTTGCTTAGGTTTATGATCGACAATTCTCGATAATTTTATTCTAATTACTGAGCAGGGACAGAAATGTAAGTTTTGGGAATGGGTAGATGATGAACTTCCTCTTAGAGTTACAGCACTGATCAGCAACTTAAAGAATGAAAATGAAGCTCTTAGACGTGAAAGGAATCTTCTGCTGATGAAGGTTGTCGAGATTGAAAGCGTCTTAGCAAGGGATGTTGCAAAAACTGAAGATTTCAAGGAATTTGATGATGTTAAAGGGGAAAATGATGTTTCTAAGGAGAAAATGGATGAAGGTTTAGTGTTTGTGAAGGAAAGTTGTCTGAAAAAATGGAATGTGATTGGTATGATATGGTGTTGCTTCGTTGGGTTCATGTACGCTTGGATGATAAAATAGATACTTTGCTACCTTAAGATCAACCAAAGTTTAGGTGTAATTGACATATTTAAGTAATTATGTAACCTATGTTCAAACAAGGTTTATGTATAATTGACATAGTTAAGGTTTAATTTATGTTTTTAAGTATTTGTATGTTACCAGTTGCAATGTTTTAGAAGATTATTTGCATTTGCATATATGAGTGAATGAAGAAACACTCCAATGTATGTTTGGATCATCTTTTGTATTTTCAGTGATTGTATATTTGGCCATGACAATATTGGCGCCTTTGCACATTTGCTTTGGATCACTGTTTTCCTCTGTTTTCAAATTCATCATTAGGTTTACTTATAGGACTTCTCGTTTATAAGCTTAAAGTCCTTGATTCTGCTTATAAACTTAATTTGTTGTTCTTAAGTAAGATTATTTCATCTAAATCTACTCTATAAATGAGAGACCAAAGTAAAGAAGTGCTCCACTTAATTAGTATGTAATAGTAAATAAAGAAACAAAGGCTTTATTGTTTTTGTGGCACATCCTGTCCTTGTATGTTGCTAACTCTAGCTACAATTGCTGACTCAAGAGTAACCTAACAGGACAAGACATGGATCATCTCTACATTCACCAATCTGCTTGTTCTATTAAAAGGCCAAAGTTTGCAAAAGATTAACTTCCAAATTCCTATCTTAAAAGTAGTAACAGAAGACAATAGAGACAACTTTATTTCTTCGACATTCCTTTCTTAAAACTAGAAAAAAGGAATGGAAGTCAAACAAAAGTAGACAGATTTGCAAAAAACATATTTGAGTGCTCCACAACTTTGTACGTAGCCAAAAAAGGTTTCATCAATACCATTTGAACAAGGCACATAATAGTTTTACCACACTTAACCATCAGATACTTAACCAACCCCAAAAAAGGTTACTAGCTAAACATAATTGTTTTAATAACCAATCATAACAAAAATCATAGCAATTGGCTTCAAAGAAAATTTTCATCATCAAGTGCAATTTTTCGTTTGCCCTTTGTTGCCATCATCTTGGAATTTCTCTTTCTTGCCTCAAGTTGGACTTGGCTTAATGAGATTGCCTCAAGTTGGACTTGGCTTAATGAGATTGCAGCTTTTCCCTTCCATGTCAGCTTAGTTGGAGAATAAGAAAGATTGGTAGGTGTCGAATCCCCAGTGTGATCTCCAGTAAACTTAATTTTTCTTGCCCCAGATGTAGGCCCTCTTAGGTTGCCCCTCTCAATCCTTGACTGTGTTTCTGAAACAACCATTAGCCTAAGTGGAGGGTCTTCTTTATTGTGAACTTCCGGACCATATGGTTCAAACTCTTGGGTGGAAGCAAATGGTCCAAAATCAGTTTGTGACTCTTGGTCACTCTCCATTGCATAAGACTCTTGAGTTTGACTGCAGCTTGCACCCTTTCTTTTACTTGATTGAGAACACTTTCCAGCAGACTTAGGCTATTGAATTTTTTTTTAAAATAAAGTCAATACATAATGTAACTATTAATGTTATTTAATTAAACAAAGATTAAGAAATGTATTACCTTGTAACAACTCCTTTCATTGTGGTTTGGTTGATCAGATTCTTGAGTTTGACTGCAACTTGTAACATTTCCAGAAGACTTAGGCTATTCAAAAAAATGTAAGTTAAAGTCAATTAAAAGTATCAATGCAACTACTACTGCTAAACAGTAACACTTTTTCCAGCATCAATTAACAATACAACTATTACTGAATAAGAAAAGTATTACCTTGTAACAACCCCTTGCATTGTGATTTGGCTCACCACAATTACTACATGTCATATGTGTCCCCTTCCTTGATTGACTCCACTGCCCTATCCTTTTTCTTGCCTCATCTGGTTCCCATTTCTTGTCACTTTGGGTCTGCCATCTTGCTTCACAATATCAGGAGGTAACATGGCATGTGAAGGTTCAATTTTCCAGAACTGCCGACCCATAACAGGCTGAAGTTTTTCCTTATATGTTAGCAAGTATGCCTCTTTACTATACCACCAATGGATTTCATCTAGATGCTCTACCCTCTTATACATCATTGCTTTTATTGCATGAGGGAAAGGAATGCCAGATAAATCCCCTCCAATCACTATACAGTTTCAAGCAAGCTGGATTATATTCTGCATTCCAACTTCTCACCTTAGCCTCGTTATCTCCTAACAACACTATCACTTTCACTCTTATGTCCTCCAACATTTTGATAATTGGTTTTCCTCTAGCCTCAAGAATTCATGCTTTAAATGACTCAGCGAAGTTGTTATCAACCATCTATTCTTACATTGAGTGTCAAGATAAGCCCTGCACCATGCCCTTGGGGATACTTTAAGATATCCTTTGCAGTATCTTCAGACAGATTCCCTAATTTTTTCAATTGGTCTTTAAACTCTTCATCATATGAACTCCATGCACACCACCATAACTTTCTCATTTCACCACTCTTCCTTTACTTTGCACCAGTTAGCCTCAATATGTCTCACACAGTACATGTGATTAGCTTCAGGAAGTACTGTGCTAACAGCATCCAACAGCCCTGTGAAGTGAATTAAAAACAAAGAATGAAATAAATATTAGACTATTAGTGCAAACCATCAAATACTTTAAAATACAGAATGAAGAAAAATTGAAACTATTTACCTTTTGCATATCTGATATGAATGTGATTCCTGCACCAGTTTTAAGCTCCAAAGACAACTTCAACAGCTCCATGAACCAACTCCAAGTCCTGCTTGTTTCCTTGTCCACCACAGCCCATGCTAGTGGGTAAAAATAATTCATAGAATCTTGTCCTAATTCCACCAACAACTGACCATTGGTTCTACCCTTTAAGAATGTACCATCTAATCTAATTAATGGTCTCAAACCATTTTTGCAGCCTTGCTTCAAAGCATTAAAGCATAAGTACACTCTCAAAAAAATTCTCTTACCTTCTGCTAGTGCATCTTTGGAGATATTTATGACTACATCACTTCCCGGATTAGACAACCTAATTTCTTGGCAATATACCTCAAGTTTGTTGTAATCATCTATAAAACTACCCTCCAGTTTTTGAAGAACCATATTCTTAGCCCTTTTCAGTTTGGATCTAGTCACATTCAACTTCAAACCATGTTCAAGCTCGCCTCTCGTATCTTTAATCATGTATTTAGGGTTATTTTGGACCTTACTTTTAAAATACTGAGCTAATGTGGCAAAATCAGCTCTAGGATTCTTAAAGGCATACTCACATGTGTGTTCATCCTTCCAAGTTTTAATCTTAAACCCACCAGTTCTCCCATCTTCAGAAATTAGACACCTAAAGGGGCACCCTTCTTGACAACCATACCTGATTCTTTTTTTTCACATTTAATCAACTCCAAAGCCTTTTTGTTAGCTAAAGCATAAAAATTCACAGTCTGTCTGCCTTCTTTCATGTCCTTAAATGACATACCTAGCTTCAACTCCTTATAGTTTTCCAACCTATCATCTACAACCCTCTTCCTTTCATTGCTAATACCCTCAATTTCATCAGAATTATACTCCTCACTATTTGAAGTTTCGTATTCACCACCAGAACCAAGACTATGTTCACAGTCTGTACCAACCTCAATATCTACATGATATGTTTTTGTATGGTCTGTGGTATGTGGAGCAAAAATAGTCGACTCGCTCTCATCAACAACAAAGAAATTTAAGACCTTGAATTTGTTATATAATAAGCAAAGAAGATCCCTGATACTCTCATCACCTTCTACCAAATAGTACTTACCCGAAAGGCTCAACCACTAACAATTGTTTAACTTTGACAAACCCTAATCTAGAGGTAAACTCATCACATATATCCTTATAACTCAATAAATCAGGATCAAATGATGTCCATAAGTGCACAAGTTTTTCACAGTATACTAGGTCAGGTGAAAATACCCATTTACCCCCATAATTGAACACAATATCAAACTCTGAAATCATCATTCGAAAGCTAGAAAAAAAAATAGAAAACAATAAAAACAGAGATGGGACCACATCAAAAAAGATACGTATAAAGATAAAGCATGTAATTAAAAAAAACCTAAAAGACAAATATGATTTTGGGACAACCAAATCCCTGACAAAATCATGATAATACACAAAATCCAGCAATAAACAAACATATATAATACTTATAAACAGACAAACATTAACTCCACCAAATGGCATATTAAAACGATTTTAATCATAAAACCCTAACCCAACAGTAAATTGTAACAAAAAGAAGCAAAGTAACTTACCTTGACTAGAAAAGTCAAAAATATGTTATAAATTTCAGCAGAAACCTCCTTCGATTGGCATTCCTTCGCATATAAAGAAACCCTAGCGGAATTTGGGCGGACTAGACGAGAGAAAACAATGTGGTTTAGTCGGTAAATATTTTTTAACATTTTGGACTATACAAGATAATACGGGTTAAGTTATACGGGTCGGGTAACGGGTAGGCTAATTAAATCGGGTTGGGTGTGAATTAAAATATTTGGGTGTAAATTAAAATTTCACATGTGAAATTATGAGTGGATAACTTATCCACTGTGGCAGCCGTTTAAAATTAAGGGGGTATCCAAGCCAAGAGTGTAACGGCAAGGTTGGTAATGGGCCCAACTTCTAACGAGGGTTATTTGTAGACCTTATCGTATAGTTCAGGAGTATTTGGACCTTTTCCGTTTTAACAATTCTAATTTAATACTATTTGGTTTTAGCTACAGAAAGAACAAGCTAAGTGCATGGCATTGTCATCCATTATGCGATCAGAAAAAGTAATGTTACGTTGAGGTTACGTTGTTAGACTCATACCCCCGAGAAATGCTCTCAGAGGAGCTTAGTGTACGTTCTTCATTTTTGTGGTTGCTGGAGATCATATTCATTAATGTTCATGTTTAATTTGCTCTAACACGATATGCAAGAAAAAGATTCTCCTTTTCTTTTTTTACTTGATTCTCATAGTTCTTGACTCGAGAAAGCGGGTGGTAACTGATAAAGTTATTGTCATGTGACCGGGAGGCAAGGCCGGCTCTAATGCACAAGCCACTAAGGCGAGTGCTTTAGGCCCCAATTTGTGGGGGCCTCAATTTTCAGGAATAGTTACTAATTGCAGGTGGGATTGTTACCCCAAATAGCCGGCCAGATTCAATATTTACTTTTTCTAGCCGATATACATAGATTATACATTGACTAATTTGTGGGGGCCTTTTATTTTATAATTTCTATCTTGATTCAATATTTTTTTAAAGAAAAAAATAATAATTAGCCCAAATAGTCGCTCACCTACTCTCTTAAACTAAAAATAGCCGATGGATGGATAACACACACACATACACTTTGGAAAGTTTGTGTTTCCAGCAGATTTTGTTATTCTGGACTGCAGGGTTGACGAGGAGATTCCCATAATTTTGGGAAGACTATTCTTGGCCACTGGGAAAGCTCTAATTGATTGTGAAACTGGAGAGCTAAAAATGAGACTGGACGATGAACAAATAACATTCAATATGCAGAAGTCTATGCGGCGACCAAGTGAATTTGCTAACTACTCTCAAATAGAAGCTGTGGATATAATTTTGGAGGAGGAAGAGAGACTCTGAACGCTAAAGAACCTCTAGCAGCCTGTTTCATGAACTTAGAAGAAGTAGATGGAGAGGACTTGGCGGAGTGGGTGCTGGCACTTGAAGGCCAAGGGTTCTCGAAAAGAGAGCTTGAATTTGAGTCTTTGCACTTAGAAGAAAGAAAGACTCCTCCAGCTAAGCCATCGATCGAAGAGCCACCACAGTTGGAACTGAAATTGCTATCACCTCATCTAATGTATGCTTTCTTAGGACCTAACTCAACTTTACATGTTATTATCTCATCTGGTTTGTTAGATGTGCAGAAAGAACAATTTTTGCAGATATTAATAGAGTGCAAAACTGCAATTAGTTGGACCATTGCAGACATTAAGGGTATCAGTCCGGCCTTCTGTATGCATAAGATTTTACTGGAAGACGGCCACAAACCTTCCAAAGAACATCAAAGAAGGCTGAACCCCAACATGAAAGAAGTCGTAAAAAAAGAGGTGATAAAGTGGTTAGGTGCGGGAATCATTTTCCCCACCTATGACAACAATTGGATTATCCTAGTTCAATGTGTGCCAAATAAAGGTGAAATGATTGTTGTTCAAAACGAGAACAACGAGTTGATCTCAACAAGAACAGTCACGGGATGGAGAATTTGTATGGACTACAGAAGATTGAATAAGGCCCCCCGAAAAGACCACTTTCCCTTGCCGTTCATTGATCAGATGCTAGATAGATTGGCTGGGAGGTCCCACTTCTTCTTTCTGGATGGATACTCAGGGTATAATCAGATCTCTATTGCCCCGGAAGATAGAGAGAAAATATCATTTACCTGTCCATATGGCGTCTACGCTTTCCAGAGAATGTCGTTCGGCCTATGCAATACACCCGCCACATTTTAAAGGTGCATGATGGCCATCTTCACAGATATGGTAGAAGACATAATGGAAGTCTTCATGGATGATTTCTCAGTGGTGGGAGACTCGTTCGATGACTGCCTTAAGAATTTGAAAAGAGTGCTGAAAAGATGTGTGGAGACCAATCTGGTGCTCAACTGGGAAAAGTGTCATTTCATGGTACAAGAAGGTATAGTCTTGGGGCACCTAGTGTCAAGTAAAGGCATTGAGGTGGATCGTGCAAAGGTTGATGTGATAGAAAAGTTACCACCGCCCACTTCTGTCAAAGCAATAAGAAATTTCCTTGGCCACACCGGTTTCTACAAACGGTTTATAAAAGATTTCTCCAAAATTGCTAACCCCTTGTGTAAACTGCTTAAAAAAGATCACCCTTTTGTATTTTTTAATGACTGTGTGTAGAGTTTGAGGAGTTAAAGAAGAAACTGGTGACTGTACCAATCATAGTGGCCCCCGACTGGGGGAAACCTTTCGAACTGATGTGCGATGCAAGCGACTATACTGTGGGAGCAGTTCTTGGACAACAAAAAGATAAAGTCATGCATCCGATATACTATGCAAGTATAACCTTGAGTGGCGCCCAACTGAATTACACAGTGACAGAGAAAGAGATGTTAGTTGTCGTGTTCACATTTGATAAATTCAGGTCATACCTGATAGGCACAAAGGTAATTGTTTACACTGACCATGCTGCCCTCAGGTACCTAATTGAGAAAAAGGAGTCAAAGTCGCGCCTAATTCGATGGGTGTTACTGTTACAAGAGTTCGACTTGGAAATCCGAAACCAAAAAGGAACAAAAAACCAAGTTGCTGATCATTTGTTCTGGCTTGAAGGAGCGGAAAAGAATGTTGAGGTGGAGGAGATCATGGAGACTTTCCCAAATGAAAAACTCTTAGCAACGAGCCTCGAGGCTACACCATGGTATGCAGATATTGCAAATTACCTAGCAAGCGGTATTGTTCCCTATGACTTGTCGTCTATGCAAAAGAAAAAGTTTTTTCGTGACTTTCACATGTATTTCTAGGATGAACCATATTTGTTCAGGATTTGTCTTGATAACATGATCCGGAGATGCATTCCCGAGATAGATCAATCTTCTGTTTTGCAGACATGTCATGCTTCACTGTATGGAGGACATTTTGGAGGTGTAAAGACATCGGCTAAAGTATTGGAGTCAGGTTTTTATTGGCCGACGTTGTTTAAAGATGCACACTTCTGGGTGAAAAGTTGTGATGAGTGCCAACGGACGGGGAATATTTCCCGTTGACATGAGATGCCCATGAACCCAATTCAAGAGGTGGAAGTATTCGATGTATGGGGAATCGACTTTATGGGACCATTTGTCAGCTCATATAATAACAAGTACATACTTGTAGCGGTGGACTATGTCTCGAAATGGGTAGAAGCCGTGGAACTTCCAACGAATGATGCGAAGGCAGTTATTGGTTTCCAGAGAAAGAAGATCTTCACCCAATTTGGCACTCCAATAACGGAAATTATTGCAATTTTGAGGTATGGCTTGATGAACCCATTAAGAAAAAAATGCTACAAACGATCTTTGCAGTATATTTGGGATATGAACTTTGAATACCAACGCCGTGAGTCTGAAATTAAATGAGAAATTGCGGCATTGCACGAGAAACTAAAAGAAGCAGAAGAAGAAAAAAATAGGCTGGAAGAGAAATTAAACTGGTTAGGGCAGAGAATACTAGGCAGTAGTGACTAAACAATGACATGTATGTGTTGAGTGTAGTATTTTATCTTTATACTTTCTGTGTCATGTATTTTCATTAGTTGTACTGAATTTAAATTATGTTAAGTTGCTATATTTGTGTTTGTGTTGTATTATTAAAATAACGAAGAACCGAGAAAATAAAAACATAATGCGCATATAATGTAAACAATAAAAATTGTTGCTATTATTTACATAAAATAATATTTACATAAAATACAAAAAAAAAAATCAATGTGTCCCACAACCTGTGTGCTTCAACGCAGCCGCTGGCCTGAGGCGCATCCCATCCCACCCGGCTACGCTATCAGGATCATCCCCATCACGTCGCCTATTTATCGCAGGATGCGCTGCAGCATGATCATCAGTAGTGCTGGAAGGTTCGGTAGAAGGGGTCGTCGGTCCAGCAGTAACCTACAGAAGAATAAATCAGCTCAGTATATAAAAATATATATTAGTAATGTACGTGTTAAGTCATAAAAATTTAAATTGTCTCACCATGGTCTCGTCGGGCTCCTGAATATAATCATTCGTCGCAGCCAGGTCAGCATCGCACAAAGTGGCCTCCGTGACGGGCGAGGATGAAGCCTTAATAAGAAAAATATAAAGATATTTATGGCTAATCAATGAGATAAAAACAAATTTAAATTTCTTAGTAATACAAACATACATGCGCCTGTGAAAGATCCCCAGCACCCCTCGATGAGGAGCCATAACTCAGCAGGCGCCCACTATCCATATCTCGAGTCGGCCGATCATGAGCAGCGGTCGATGGGCCTGGAAAGTACTGATC